GGGGGCTGCGCCCAAGCCCGATCCGCCGCTCCGGCTCCGAGGTAAGCCCAGCGCGGGCGGCCACAGCTCAGCGCCACGCACCCCTGTCCCCAAAGTGGTTGCGATACCGAGAAAGTCGCCTGGCCAGGGTCCGGACCTGGGCGGGGGCGACTGCTTTGTCCCTCTGCTGGGCGGTGGGGGCTGACGGCGCGGGGGCGCCCGGCACAAAGGCCTGGCGCGAGGGGGGGTGCCCACGTGGGCTGGTCCTGGCCGCGGGTGGACCCTCCCCACTCGGGCGGGCTCCGAGCTTCCTGCCGCGCGAGGGGTGTGTGTGTGTGTGTATGTATGTGTGCATGTATGTGTGCGCGCGCGCGTTTGTGTGTGCAGGTCTCCGCACTCTGGCCCCAGCACAGGGCCGGGTGCCCTGCAGATCCGGCGAGTTTCCGGGGTCAGAAACCAGCTCACGCAGCTGGGGCTTCGGGAAGCACAGGGCCCGACTTGGCGCCCAAATCAGAGAAAGAAAAAGTCTCTAACGGGACAGATGTGCGTCCTCTGACGACCACCCCCGCGAGTCCGAACCCGGGTGGGAGGGGCCGGCGCGCTGGTGGTCGTTCCAGGCGCGCAGGGCTTGGAATCCGGAGTCTGTCGTACTGAGACCGGATCGCGCCTCCAGACCCCTGCTGCCTGCTCGCACCCCCTGACCTGGACGCGTGCACCGGGCACACACTCGCAAACGCCCCCCGCCGGCTGCAGCGCCTTTCTGTCCTCCCGCGGCCCCCACCCCCGGCTGCAGAAAGATAAGCTCCAAGTTTTCACTCCGTGTCTCAAATGTGCATGAAGGAATTTAACTGCACGAGTGAATAACAGCATTAGTTTCAATTAATTTTTTTTAATCCCGGCAACAATAAACTTTGAGAACAAAAGCGCTTTTACGTCCTTAATTAGGCGAGTTTCCCATCTGTGGTCTCGAAGTGTCTGCCTCTTGATTTAACTTTGTCCCCGCCCCGCCCCCGCCGCACACCCCTCCCGGCCCTGCCAGGCTCTTTGGGCGCAGCGGGCACCCAGC